ACCAATTGCTTTTGAGGCTCGCGATTTCTTTCTGATGCTGTTCTGCAGCAGCATCGGCCGCTGAGTCATGTTGTGCCTACCATCGACAAGCAACTCTTTCTGATGTCTGCCAAACTTTAATTCCAGTGGCTCGTGGCATAGATTTCTGCAGAATCAATATGTTTTGATCAATTCACAAGTTTGTGTCTGCAGTAGGCACAGTAACAAGCAACTCCTTGTGATGTCTGCTAAACTTTAATTCCAGTGGCTTGGGGAATAGATTTCTGCAGAATCAATATTTTATGATGAATTCACAAGGTTGTGTCTGCAGTAGGCCTCAACTGCCGCAAGTTTGTCTTTAATGCTCTGCACCTGACAAAGAATGGAACAACAGGCATTCTTGCAGGCATCTTTCACTCCCGTGTTCTTGTTGACAGCGGCACCAATAATCAACAAAATACCATACCCCCAGAGACCAATCGCTTTTGAGGCTCGCGATTTCTTTCTGATGCTGTTCTGCAGCAGCATCGGCCGCTGACGCATGTTGTGCCTACCATCGACAAGCAACTCTTTCTGATGTCTGCCAAACTTTAATTCCAGTGGCTTGTGGAATAGATTTTCTGCAGAATCAATATGTTTTGATCCCCGTGGCAATTTCCACTCTAGAACTGGTGAACCTGTGCGTAGTTTAAACGAAATTCTTAATGTATTGGAATTTTAAAATTGATATCAGGCTAGTCATTTTATTGTTGGGGGGTTGGGCTAAGCATTTTATTGTAAAGGTAAATCCTGATGATTTTTAACATGTTAAAATTCCATGCTCATTTTATTGCAAAAAAATGTTTGCTTGGAGCATTTTATTGCAGAATGGAACCAGTGTTTTTCCAGGATCTTTTTATATCGATGTTATTGGGCATGTCATTTTAGATCAGCGAATTTTAAGGAATTTGAAGGAATTCTAAGGAATTTTAAGGAATACTAGGGAATTTTAAAGGAATTATAAGGAATATTAAGGAATTTTAAAGGAATTATAAGGAAATTTTAAGGAATTTAGAGAGTTTTAAGGAATTTTAAGGAACCTTAGAGGATTGTTAAGGAATTTAGAGGAATTTGACGGAATTTGAAGGAATTGGGAAGATTTTTAAGGATCTTTAATGTTTTTAAATTTTAAAGGATATTTAAGGCTTTTTTAAGGATTTTTTTGGAATTTTAAGGAGTTTAAAGGATTTTTAAGGAATTTTAAGGAATTGCCACGAAAGAATGCCACCGTATTTTGTTGCTATAGAATGCTATTATAAAAAAAAAAACTCACTAAATATTTGGGCACCTTCACTCTAAAATACCCCTATCTAAAATGGATTTCCTGACCTATTTTTAAGATGCGTTTCTGAGGGTCTTCAAAATTGGATGAAATTGGATGATGTTGGATGCACATTCAAGCATGAATTTGGTGGCAAGGCATTTTATTGCAGGGCCAGTTTTCATTGTTTTTGTGCATTTAAAAGCCTGGGGCCTATGCACAAAAGTTAGACCGCTCTAAAACTCCTGCACAACTTCACATGATGAATTGGCACCCCGATATGTTTTGATCAATTCACAAGTTTGTGTCTGCAGTAGGCACAGTAACAAGCAACTCCTTCTGATGTCTGCTAAACTTTAATTCCAGTGGCTTGGGGAATAGATTTCTGCAGAATCAATATTTTATGATGAATTCACAAGGTTGTGTCTGCAGTAGGCCTCAACTGCCGCAAGTTTGTCTTTAATGCTCTGCACCTGACAAAGAATGGAACAACAGGCATTCTTGCAGGCATCTTTCACTCCCGTGTTCTTGTTGACAGCGGCACCGATAATCAACAAAATACCATACCTCCAGAGACCAATCGCTTTTGAGGCTCGCGATTTCTTTCTGATGCTGTTCTGCAGCAGCATCGGCCGCTGAGGCATGTTGTGCCTACCATCGACAAGCAACTCTTTCTGATGTCTGCCAAACTTTAATTCCAGTGGCTTGGGGAATAGATTTCTGCAGAACCAATATGTTTTGATCAATTCACAAGTTTGTGTCTGCAGTAGGCACAGTAGGCCTCAACTGCCGCAAGTTTGAATTGGAGCTGCTGCACCTCAAGAGCCACGTCAATTAATCCGTTAGTGCTTGCAAAATTCACTTCAAGAGTCTGTGCAAAACTCCGGTCTTGACTATAGACGGAGCCAACCAAATCCCTTTATAGCAGGCCCTGCAACTGTTCCTGGCACCTTGCAAACTCCCACACCATGACGTACAAATACAGAAATCCGTTTTGCATGGGACCCCTGACATTCCAAAATTCCTGGACCCTCTTCTGTTTGCACCTCCTTCGCGCCAGTTCAAAGTCCTGGCGTGCTTTCATCAACCTCGGAATGAAGGGAGTCCCAAAGATCAAGTTGATGCAAACCCCTGCGTACACTAACTTCAGGGCCTGACTTCCATTTTAATTGCGCATTCTCACACTCTAGCTCGTCCTCCGAATGCGTGGACGCCCGAGTGCTCTCGGAGCATCCAGACTTCCTCTAGAAAATGCGAAAGGAAAAACAAGCTCGAAAATTCCTTCAAACACCCTTAGGACACTGCCAACAACTTCATTCGCAATTCACACACGATCAGTGATGAATTCCAGCATCACTGTCGCGCCTCTTTTTCTCACGGCTCAACTTCTCTCCACCTCACAAAGCAGAGTAACAGTTCGTGTTCTTGATGTTTTTACAGCACTTGTCAAAGATCTTGCGTCCTGGATGCAATGCCTATGAGCGCCGGAGAAGAATGATCAATCTTCCCACCAAGGAGCTGCAGAGGATCACCGACTCGATTGTGCCCGGGGGTTGAATTGGAAATTTGTGCCTGGCCTTGGGAGATCGTTTAAAGAGACAAAAAAGTGGATTTCCAATGGGACACCCAAGCCAAGAGAGATTTCACAGCAAATTGATCCTGAGCCCCGCGCACTTCAGGCAAGTAGGTGCAAAGGACATACATTGCGCTTATTTTGAGTACATCCAAGTACCAAGTATGTGCTCTCTAACATGTCTCATTGTTGCATCTTATGTAAGTATTCCATACGAAGAATCACGCAACCTTAGTAGCCTTGTGCCTCACATAACCCGGTACGTCTAGCTTTGTCTGTTTCCTCTGAAAAAAATGGAAAAGACTATGTCCCCTCTCCGTCACCAGAGGGACCCACAGCATTTGCCAAGTTCTGAGGCTGGCCCAGCATCGATACATAAACATGTATATATAATGTTTATTGTTATATATTATTCATTATTTATTATTATTATTATTGATATTAGTTTTTATTATTATCATTATTGTTATTGTTATTGTTATTACTATTATTATTGTTATTGTTATTATTGTTGTTATTATTATTATTACACCTACAGCATGGTAAGAAACCGTAAACTCCTAATGACATCGCCAGAGTCGTAGAGGTATCCTCGCCTTGTTCAGTGGTTGAAAGACATCGTGATCGTTGTGGGTGCCAACTGCTGCCCTTACTCTGCCACAAGGTGCAACTGCTACCTATTGCAAATGGTTCCCAAGGTGCTGAGTGAGCCGATCCATCAAAGCACATAAACAAATGCATTCCTATGGACAATTGACTGAGAATCAGGCTCATGACACATCCAAGGCTGTAACACAAGACCAGGCTTGTCGCTTCATTTTCTCCCAATCAATCCACTGCAACCATAGCTTTGATGGTTTTCTATCAACCTCTGCCCCTCCCTGTCATTGCACAACCCAACGATTCTTACGAAACCCTGCCCTTTGACTTTTCAGTCAAAGCTGGGCATCGCGGCCATGCCATCGCCATGCATGGAAGACAGTTCCCTTCGCTGCTTCCGGATCTGAATGCAGGTCGGTCACTTCAAAATTTGAGATCCGTAGAATTCTGCATACGGCTGGACACTTGCGAGTTCTTCTTCGAGCTGCACCATGAATGCTTGGCGTTGCCTGAAGTCTCATAGTCTGCATTATATAGAGATCTTTAATGTAAATGTAAGAAAAACAACCGGGGTAAATGGACAATCTGCTTTCGGTTCCATAAGGGACATTTACGCGCGATATGATTTGGGTCTGTAGAATTCCGCAAATCATTGGTTTTCAGGGTTGGTTAAACAGGCTGTGAGGGCCGGACTGTCGCTGTCTCAATCTATCAGATCAACCTGAACCAGAAACACTGGAAAATGATTTGCAGAAAGCCGATTAATGTAGAAAATTGGTTGTCAATTAGTTGCAGACTGAGCAAAGACTAGCAAAGTAGCAAAGACGCATTTCTCAGTTTTCAACCACAATCTAATCGAGGTCTAGGTCTTGGACAGGAAATCTGAATGTGGCTCAAAAAGAAACGAAAAAAACAAAATCATCATCATCATCATCGTCATCATGATCATGATGTTCATCTTCATTTTTATCTTGAGATAGCAAGTGCAAGCTGCCAAGGCCATGAACGCTTTGACAGCACCTTAGCAATTCCAACTATGGTTCGAGAAATGCCATTGTTTTGATTGTTTTGAGGGAAAGGCCAAGAATGGGGGGATAAACTGCCTTGGAAGTTCTCTGGCAAGAGTTGAGCGCTCAGTTTTTTTTGGGGGGCCATGGCTCAGCGTTTGCCATTCAAGGTCATATTATGATATGAGAGACACATTTTGCATCCCACCGTTCACACAACTTCACACCATCCAAGGGAGGAACATCATGTTTGGTTTTCCGTGAAAGTCAACAACCATGTTCTTAGAGCACACGTGCCCATGCATCCTACTGTTCCCCTTCAACTTTTCCTATAAAAACCTTTGCAGCAAAGCCTTGAACAGTTTTGGGCGGCTATCGGCTTTGCAACCAAATGATATACGTATGTGGTGTCCTCCAATTTTCCCGAAAAGAACATGAACATCATGCGCCACAAAAATTGATTGCCACTCATTGGTGCAAGTCCTTGAGATTGCAAACGCAGTAGGAACTCTGTCACTGCGTTATATGAAGTCACTGCTTCATGCGCTCCGGAGCTGCAACAGCGGCAGTTTTCTCACGGTCAGGTGCAATGGGATGAGACAAGTGGGAAACGTAGGATAAGCAAATGTAAACGTGTTGAACAAGTCTGAACAAGTGACCTTTTTTTTTCGTTCTTTTAGCACGACCATGTTTCTTAAGAGTTGTACTTGATGTTGGCAGCTGTGGTTTGCTGCGTGAGTTTCTTTGGTCAGTTCGCGCTGGAGGTCATGGTGGAAATAAGCATTCCGAAGGCTGGAGTGCCGCCGTGAAACATGCCAGAGAGTCCGGGTCCCCGCAAGGAGATGGCCAGTCTGAGACAGAAGGAAACTACGGATACGGAGAGAAGGCGGATTTTGTTTTTGTTCCCCACCTGCCAGGTGAGGGTTGTTAGATTTTATCAGAGTTGTTCTTCTCCTCCTCGGCTAGCTCTTCTCCTCTTCCTCCTCCTCCTCTTCCTCGCCTCCTCCTCCTCCTCCTCCAGTTTCTCCTCGACCATGTCTGCATCAACTTCCACCTCCACTTCCGCCTTGCCAACTCTTCGCCAAGCTCTTTGCCAACTCTCTTCGTCAAGCTCTTTGCCAACTTCCCAGCTCAGTGTGCACCGCTGGACCTCAACCTGGGACCTTCCCAGCTCAGTGCGCACTGCTGGACCTCAACCTGGGACCTTACCAGCTCATTGTGCACCGCTGGACCTCAACCTGGGACCTTCCCAGCTCAGTGTGCACCGCTGGACCTCAACCTGGGACCTTCCCAGCTCAGTGTGCACCGCTGGACCTCAACCTGGGACCTTCCCGGCTCAGTGCGCACCGCTGGACCTCAACGGCCAGACAGAATGCCAGAAGATATGCCAGATAGAGTGTTAGAAGATATGCCAGAAGACATGCCAGATAAAATGCCATAAGATATGCCAGATAGAATGCCAGAAGGCATGCCAGATAGAATGCCAGATAAAATGTCAGATAGAATGCCAGAAGATATGCCAGATAAAGTGCCAGAAGATTTGCCAGATAGAATGCCAGATAGGATGCCAGAAGATATGCCAGAAGATATGCCAGATAGAATGCCAGAAGATATGCCAGATAAAGTGTCAGAAGATATGCCAGATAGAATGGCAGATAGGATGTCAGAAGGTATGCCAGATAGAATGCCAGATAGAATGCCAGAAGATATGCCAGATAGAATGCCAGACAGGACGTCAGAAGATACGCCATCTTGGCATGTTTGTTTTGCAGCCTGAACTGCAAGCGGTGACGCCAGGTGACATTCAGGAGTGAAGCGGCAGACCGGCTAGCAACGTCACAGACCAAAAAAAGAACGCAATGGCTTGCTTGCAAAGGGAGCGGCTGGTATCTATGTGACAGAAGATTTGTCAGTAACAAAACGTATAAATGTCATGGTGGGGATCACTCGAAGTAAAGTAATTTTAATTGTTGAGTCATGTTGAGTCCAGGTTACGCAATGACATTGCACTTGGACGAAGCCTGTTCAATTCGAAAGAGAGAATGCATGTGCCTGGAGAGGACATGTTACAACTTGCAGCAGGATCGCATCTTGTCGGCAAGTAGACAAATGAGGTAAAAAAACAGTCTTGCGAAGAAACTTTGGGCGCAGACAGTGGCAGGTTGACAGGAGTGTTGACATCCCTGGTGGCTGAGGGTGGTCAAAGTGCAGAACTTCCCTGCATCCTGGGTGGAGGAAGTTGTGGGAAGGGAAATGGAGAAAGATAGTTTGCGATTCACAATTCTGATGCTCGCCCATGCATTCAACTCAACATAATTCAGCCATTTATATATACAGTTATCTCCATTTAGTCTGTTTATTTTTTGTATAGTTGAATCCGATTTGTGATGCACCATGATACATCAACAGTCTCCTTGCATCTCCTTGCCTCACAAAGGAATCGTTTTGGGGATTTGCAAAGCTTCTGGCCAGGACAAAGCCCTCCCAATGCTTTCAGCGAAATTGGCCAAATTGCATCTCGGCATATCTTGGCCATCTCTGCATGCAGTTTGATTTTCTTTCGCCACTGTGGCTGTGTAGCAATGTGTAGCAACTCATTTTGGTTGTCAAATGTTCTCGAGGCTTCAGCGATTTGGCTTATTGCGCTACAAGCCGGTCAGTGACCTCAGTGACCTCAGTGACCTCAGTGACCTCAGTGACCTCAGTGACCTCAGTGACCTCAGTGACCTCAGTGTCAGTGGCATCGGAATTGCGTTTGGCAGGTGGCCAAGGCAGAAAGATCCGGAGGCTCCAGTGATTTTGTGCCCTGTCAAAGGTGCAGCAAAGCCGAAAGCCGGCGTGCTGCATAGTTGATGTATGATATGTATGTTGATGTGTTTGCTGCAAATTGCTGCAATGTGAAGTTCACTTTGCATCTGCAACTTGGTCCCTGTCAGAACTCGTTTTTTTTGCTGCGTTCAACGAAGCTCTGGCGGCCAAAGAGGACAGCCCTGACAGCTGACATTTCTCAGTCGTGGCAATCGTTCCCATGTTTGCTGGAAGCAATGACTAAGTCAGTTCGTTTTGCGGTTCTCAAAACATTTTCCAGGTGAGGCACACGCACAAACATCCTTTGAACATCTTTGAAACAAATGGAAGGTGCATTTTGTTCCCCTACTCCGAAAACTCCGAAGGGCATGCAACTGGCCAAACATTGGAATCACCAAGGAAATCCACATCAGAATCAACGCTAGAATTTGAATTAGAATGAATTAGATAGAATAGCATGAATTAATAAATCAACATCACAATAAACATCAACTACCATCAACTATAGAATATAGCAAAATCATTGAACAATTTGAACATCAACTAACATCAACTCTGCGCTGCGTAGCAGCAGGCAGTTGCCAAGCTCCACGGCACAGACCTCCGAAACAATGCTGAGAAGAAAGCTGCCGGAGGCGAGCGGAGACCCGGAATACCCGGAAAACATCCCTGATCCAATGGGTTTCCTATGGTTTTTCTGTGGTTTTTCTATGGCTTAAATCATCTTAAATCATGTTTCTATGGGTCAATGGTTGTGGCCGCTATCTTTCGCTGACATATTCATAAGATTCCAAAATATATAAAAGCTGCTGATGTTCTGCTGACGGCTGCGCCATGATTTCTTGGAGTCGGACTTTTGCCGAGCTTGGATGGTCGCCATTTTCGATGCAAGGCAGGGATCACAACAAAAAACGATGCGACCGACGTCTCATGAAGTGTCTCATAAAATGCATCATGAAATACAGAAACATGACAAACTGTCACAAACCAACATAGACATAGAGCATGATACAGCCTGGTAACCTGCACAACTTGCATTTGGATCAGCAAACCAATTTCAGCCACTCTGGAAATTTCCCAATCTTTTCCAGAAACTGAGCCAAACAGCAACTGAAACCAAAGCTCTGCGACTCCAGAGATTTTGTGCCGTTGATGAAGCTCTGAAGCTGCGAATGGAATGGGCTGTACTTCTTCTGGATGTCGACGAGGTGGCAGTGGCCTGGCCAAAACAGAATTTGACTTTGAGATATTTTGACATATTTTGACCTTCTTTGAAACTTTGATACTTATCTCATCTTTGAGATAGGTTATGATTCATCATCATTCATCATCCATGGTTTTTGAATTGACTTGTTTTGCAGATTTCAGCGCACCCGACCAAGCTGAAACGCCTTATCCCAACTGTCTGAACGAGGTGTTTATGATCCCAGCGAGCAGCTCCTAGCGCCACCGCCTCACCAGAGGCACAACAATGGGGGGTTGCTATCCCAAAATGATCATAACATGGTTGTAAAGTGATCGATTGCGATTTCAAGAGGGAGTTTTTAATGATAAACTCTGATAAACTGATTTATCTGATAAACCATAGAGGTTAAAGAAGGGTTTGGGGTATTGCGGACACGTCATGGCATCCTGTGTTAGGCGAGGCTCCAAGCCGACTCTGCTGCGGAGCGGTCGGCTCAATGGGAAGCTACAAAAAGAGGAGGGGGACGACAAGAAGGACGACTGGGAAGATGAGGAGAGAATTGAGCCTTTGACTGAAGGTTTCATTTATCAATATCTATCAGATCTAGACATGCCACTCTGATGAAATCTGATGAATATGGAAGCACATCGAATTTAGATGTCGTGTTCCTATGCAACAACATTGGGTTTTCAGACAATCCTTTTTGCTAGCAGCCAAGCAGCCAAGATGTTCTACGTCGATCGAACAGACCACCGACTGAGGATTCCATTGTACCTTCCAATTCCAGCACCTCATCGAATGCGAACCGGACGCTGGGATTACAAGCTGAGTTGGCCGACACAGATGCTCCGGGATGATGACCATGATGAACAGTGGTTCAGGTTATCCCTTCAATTCAAAATCAAGACCCACATAGTCTCTGGGGAAGGGGAAAAGGTCAACTTGTGCCTATTGAGCGCTTTCCACATGTAGCACTCTCATGTCGTTGATTGAAAGTTGTTTCTTGTTGCTAGCCCAAGAGAGCTAAAAACAACAAGGACAAGAATTGCCCAGTTGCATCATTTCTCACAGGAAAACTGTCGGTGTCAGGGTCGTTGTTGGTCGAAACATGTCGAAACATTTTGGAACGCAACAGGAATAAGGCACTTGGTGAAACCTTGTGCCTTGTGCCACGGAGACCTGTGCAGTGTATTGCAGTGTGATATCACTGAAATTTCCAGCGGAATTCATGATAATTATTCATGTCTGTTTGGAGAATGTGCCATTTGGATCCATCTTGTTTCATGGTGTAGTTTTGGTGTTTGGAAGTTCCTTGCCCGTTTGGTTCTGGTGTGATCTTCAGTTTGCTTTGATTTTGTCCTAGGAGACTGGCCAATATTGCAACACCAAAACGACCGAGCCGTCCAAGTGCTCAAAAAGGACCTAGCCCATATGCCGATTGCAGTAGTATCGTGCATCTCAAACTTGTAAACTCAGTTTCATTCTGAACAAAATTACGTGCAGAGGGATTTGGCCAGACTACTCCCACCTTTTGTAAGTGCGCAATTGAAACATTTCCCCCACAACGAAGCTGGTGCAAGTTGGCAGGAAATACCACAGCACACAAGGCCGGGCATCTTGTACACTAGAGTTTCGAGACGAGAAGGGGAAACAGGCAAAATGAATCAACATGAACCTGTTCGAAGCGTCAGACACTTGGAACAAGTGTCCGAGGCATCTTTGACACCTCCAAGGAACGCCTCCAAGGTAATTTCTCCCGTTGTGCGAGACTCAATCTACAAGTGCCTATGATGACTCATGATGACGCACGACATTTTTTTGCTAGTTAAAAATTAAAAACCAAGTATAACATGAATTCATATGTTGTTTTGCCACGATTTTCCGTTCATGCTGCACTGAGTCAGTCATGATTGTCCCCAAAGCAGGCTTTTGCACTGGCTGGATCCTCTCTGCCATTGCCTCCATCCTCGGTACTTCCTCCACCACCATCTTCCTCGGAGGGCTCGGGCCATGCGGAGACGGAAAGTGCAGCCCGGCAGAGACACAGCATGACACAGCACACCAAAGTGATCTGTTGTGACAACGGTTATGACAACGGTTATGACATCTCATGCCGGGATGCAATCCACTGCTTAGAGCCGAAGTTGCTTTGAGGAACGAAGTGTGCGAAACAAACCGGAGGCTGATGATTTGGCTGACCTGCAAAATCAGCAAACACATGTGGACTGGCCACCTCTCAATATCTTTGATCTGGAAATCAGCACGTGACATCTGCAAAGGTGATTCTTGCAGATGCATTTTTGTGTGTCTGCCCTTGAGTGAGTTTTGTTGCATCTCTCTGCAAGGTGCCTAAGAGGCAACAAAAATTGCTATGCTGCGGGAACATTTGTGGAGCTATTCAACTGTCTCTTGGACCAGTTTGCTGACTGAAAGAAAACACCCCCACGTCAATTGGTTTCATGGCAGTCCATCCCTTCATCTGATTCTGAGGCTGCGTACTCGAAAAGAGGGGGTCGAGACAGATGCTTTGCTGCACAACTAGATCTGAACACAGATATAATGTTGATGCATCATGATTCATGATAGATCAATCTCAGGGATCTTCAGAGTATTTGGTCAATATTTCAACATATTTCAACATATTTCAACAATTTTCAACATATTTCAACAGATTGTCAGATGCAGTTTCCATGAACTATCCGATAACTATCCATTCCATGGCATTCCATGAAGTACTTGGACTCATGGAAGTCTTGCAGATCCGAGCTTTGCCTCAGGCTGAGAGTAGCACCGGCCCCCTGCAACCCCAGCTTCCGATTGCACGCTCTATCCAGGTGCGCAGCTGTTAGCTTCATGATGTGCTGGTTATATCATTTGGCATGTTCACACCTCAAGAGCTGTGAAGCCAAATTGTGAATTCGGCATGTTCACACCTCCTCATGAGGTTCTTGTGTGCAAATTTAACAGGGTGTGAAGCCACTCGATAGCTGCTCTTTAGAACATGTGCAAGATGCTTACAAGCAAACACATGCAACGCTAATTATGCAGAACTATTATGTAAGTACTTCTCGCACATTGCTCAGCCCGTGGCTAGACAATGCCAATTTCCGGAGTTGGTTTCTTCTGTCCCTAAGTCCCTGTTTGCTTTGTGCCACGACCATTGTTTTCATAGTCAGCACCAGCAATTAAATGGTAGGTTTTGCCTTCTGTGCCCAAATAGCAATTCGACTTTGTAGTTGCAGGTGATACCGTGGGTGTTGTTCACTTCACCTCTTGCCAATCAAATGTAACCTTGCCATCCTCCAGAATGACACTTGCTTGAGAGGAGGACCGAAGAACTGAACGCCACCATCGAGCCGCCGAGCTTCGAAAACGCTTTCAACTTGCACGAGAAACTGCAAAGGCTGTGGCAGTTTCAGGATGATGATGACCAAAGAAGATGCACAAAGAAACATGTATGCAAAACGATGCGACACGATCAACACGATGCAAAACGTATGCAAAACGTATGGGTGGTGCTGTCTCCAGTGTTGCACAATGAAGAAAGCTCAGCAGCATGATTCAGCAAGACATTGTATTGTTAGCTCCATTTAGCTCTCGATTTTCACGGTCAGGGCCTCTCTCTGTCAGCAGACGAGAAACTGCAGCTTTATGCCTACGAAAAGCAGGCGATTCGATCCGGCTTCCAGCTTCAACTTCCACAGTGATTCGCTATGCGTCTGTGACTTGTGATAGGCCACAGAAGGCCCTGTGTCTGGAGTTCGACCTAGTGCCTTCAACATGCTGGCTCGTGCCAGATGGGATTCCTGGGCGAAATTGCGGCTTGGCTGCGACACAAAAAGAGCATCTTAGAGCAACGTTTGCTCTATGTAGAATCATTGCAGAAATCTGTTTCATTAGATTCATTCTGAATTATTTGTTGTAATAATTGTGTAATATATGTTTTAATATATTGCTATATGACCACCCCAAAGATGAGTCTCATAGAGTCCTATCAGGAAACGTATGGACAAGGAGGTGGCCAGAAGCTCAGAGACCTGGAATCCATGATGCGATCCATGTCTCTACATGTCTCTACATGGTTCACTGATGTTTACTGGCTTGCTACGGCTTGCTACGGCTTGCTACGGCTTGCTACGGCTTGCTACGGCTTGCTACGGCTTGCTACGGCTTGCTACGGCTTGCTACGGCTTGCTACGGCTTGCTGGTGCTTGTTTCCAAGGCCAAGCAAGGATATTGTGCACTTGTCGACAAGTTTGCACCAGGGTGGAGGCGCGATCATGCCGTGACTGTGTGAATGTTTGTGAATATCTCACTAAGATCATAAGATTTACGAAACAGTACGCCCAGTAAGCTTCTGTATTTTATGCTTTGGAATCTTTGGAATAACTTTTTCTCCGTCCAGGACGAAAGCAGGTCTGTGAATCCTGTGAAGGCATGCTTTTGACACATTTACAACAAGGACTTTTGGCAGACAACACATCGAACATAGCAGAATATTTAGCAAAACTATCAAACACAGAAAGATAATGAAAGATACACAACATATTATCCTGTACGCTCATGGAAAATGAATGGCAAAGTGCATTCAAAAGTCCTTCTGATGCCAGGCATTTTTTAATCTAAAGAGGTGGTTCGTCTCCGAGGTGTGCGAGCCATGCACGATCTGTACAGTCGCTTTGGCCGTCACATAAGTTCGACTGCCAGGGCCAGTGTAGCAGGACCGTTCCAAAGGCTGTGGATACCAAGGGCACACGGCCTCCTCAGTAAAGTTGGGCGGTTTTGGTCCACGAACGTGGACTTTTCTTATGGGAAAGGACAACTTGTTTTTCTTTTAGCTTCTCCGCTCGCGGTGAAAATGATGAAGTGCAATGAACTGCGACATTTTGTGCCTGTTCTGCTGTCAAACTTCGCCAGAAATCAGCTCTTGTTTTTTGACTGTTGCCATTCAGAGGCGCTGCTGCACCAGCGTGGCAGCGGTTCTCGGTGCAGCTGGAGGTGGTGTGAACTCCCCTGGCAGTCCATTTGCATCGAAATACAGTGGCCATCGGCTGCAGGAGGAGGTGCTGAGTGATCAAGTTATGACACTTTGGAGACAGTGGCCACCTCGGAGGGTACTGTTCAACTTTCCACTCCGCAATCGACCCCGATGGATTGAGGCAAAATGGCGAAATGCCCAAGGAGCCCAAGGAGCCAGAGGCTGCCGCAATCCTCATGGTGGCGGCTCTTTTCGCAGGAAGTTCCCATAGATTTTTGTGGGAAGTTAGTGTACCCAGCAAATTCTAGGAAGTTTCCTCACGAATGCATTGCAATGTTTCCCAACAAAAGGATGATCTACTCTGTTTCTCTGTATGTCTGTATATGAGCAATCTCGGCCAGCTTCAGCCACATAATTGTGTGGAGACTTTTGGCATGTTTAAGCATCATTTTCTTGAATGAGTTTTTTTGGATGTTCACAGTAAATTTCTGCATTTCATTATGTTTATATAATTTATATAGACATCATTTACCCCCCCCTTTTCACACATAGAATGGGCAGGCTTAGCGTTGTTGTCACATGATTTTCTCGGAGAGTTTCGGAAATTCTTGTACAAGAACTTTATGGGGTACTCACATGGAGTGATTCTGAATCCTCCGGAATATGGTCAGGATGTCATGGGACCTGTGTTTTTCTAGCGTTTTGCTTCTGCAGCTCTCGATGCTGCAGGCAGAAGAGTTTGAGTTCGCGGAAGATGATACCGTTGATGCAGACTGTGCAGATGGAAGTGAGACGGAGCCGCCACGCGCCTAGACGCTTTTTCTCGTTTGGAGGAAACATCAAACTTGAAACGAGCATAAATCGATATGATCAATCTGAAGTCTGAGATCTGTCAAGATTAACACATTTTCTGGAAAGAGAACCAGTGCTCACTACTCCAAGGCCCAGCGAGGGCGAGGATTTGCAAAGCGATGATGAGGACGCAGATTGGAATCAACAGATACAACAATTCAATCAACTGAAAGATGAGGGTTGCTGGAAGTTGCTGGCAGTGATTCTTTTTGAATGAAGGGCCAGTCCAAAGTGACGGTTTTGCGTGCGCCTCAGTACTTCCCGCGCAGAAGCACATTTGCGCAGATGCCATGCTATACTATCGTGTGTTTGAAGATTTCAGGTTTCAGAACCAGCCACTGCTTGTTAGGCTTAGAAATTTTCCATCATCATGGCTTGCTGCGGAGGCTGCCAAATTGAATCACTAGTGCCACCATTACACCTACTGTACTCAACATTACTCAACTACAGAAGTGGTTTCCTTACATTGACATAGATTCATTGGCTGCAGAGTACATGTCAGAAACCTTCGTACTAATTTCGTACTCATATTCTCAAAGCAGAGCCGCCGGACTTTGGATCGCGTTGCCGACATGGCATCCTTGGCTGACAGGTGCTGCCGCAGCTTGGTGCACGGATTTCAGCGCTGTTGACCAAGCCATTCCGGCTGTTTGAAGCTGCGTTTACTGCTGTGATCTGCTGTGGAAGCTGGCAGTGCCAGGTTTGGTCGACTTGCAAGCAAACCAAAGGTGCTGGACGGTGCTGCCGACCCACTTTTTTACAATACCAAGCTGATCGGAGTTGCTTCTCATTTAGGTCTTTGCTCTGTGGGATCAGATTTGGGGGTTGCAATTCCCCCTTCATTATCTTGTGTTAGGATGTGTTAGGTAGGATAAGTAGGTTGCTCACTTGCTTTCTTGCTTCGATCATTTTGCAATGACCGAGTTTTGAGACCAGCGCAGCAGGTGCGATGAGTTCTCTGGGCATAGTGGCTACAGCAGCTTTTCAGGCCATTTCTTGGTTGAACTTTGCCAAGCACGGCAAACCGTTTGTCATTGGATGTCATCGCTGTAAACAAAATTGAACAAAGTTGAGCATCACTTCTCCTGGAAGTGTTGAATATGTGATGTAAAACAACGAACCGTTCGGGTGCCTCTGGCTGCATACACTGCAGGCGCAGGAGGATGCGGTCAAAGCCATCCAGGCTCTAGACGGCTTGGACTGGAGAAGTCGGACACTCAAAACTCTCGGGATGTCTCGGGGATCTGAGGGATTCTGAGGGCGCTGGTTTGATTCATTTTGATTCTTGAATCGTTTACCAATGTTTACCATCATCCAAGCAATTTTTTTTTTTTGCTCGAAATCTTCAGGTCCAGCAGAAGTTGATGCCGGAAGACCTGCTGCAGTTGGCTCCTTGGTAAAGGGCCTTCGAGGGTGGGACTTCCGAAAAAAGCACGGCTGAGGTGCACGAACACTTTCGGGCCGAAATTGTCAACCCAGAGGAGGCCATTCTGAATGATTCTGACGATTTGAGGATTGAAACTGATTGAAACAGATTGAAACAGATTGAAACAGATTGAAACACCAAGTCACTAACACTGCCACGTTCACATGTGAAAAATCATGTGAAAAATCATGTTCAATCCAAGTCTGGCTTTTTCCCCCGTTTTTTGCCTTGTCATTTTCCACTCTTAACATGACCCAGCATTCAGGTGGCCTCCAGACTTGCTCAGCTGTTGACAGCTCCACCAGGACAAGTCTGATGAAATTTGAACCAAGTGGTGGTTTCCAGAAATGGGTACCCCATGGTACCCCAATAGCTGGATGATGCTGGATGGTTTACAGTGGAAGATCCGATCAAAATCCGATCAAAATGGATGAAACAGGGTACCCCCCCATTTCAGGAAACCTCGAAATCTGATTAAAAGCTGATTGTTTTTGGGCATTTGCAGAATGGCGTGCAGACAGAGCGTTTCAATCATTTGTGCAGCAGCGATTTTTTGCCTTTCACATCTCGCAGGACTTCCAAGCTTTGGCGGTTTGCACAGTGAAGGTGGAGTGATTCCAAGATATTCCAATATATGGGTATGGGTCAATACCTATAGATACCATATTTTAGTGGGTTATTCACATCCATTTTAACCCAGCTATGACTTGGGGTTCACGGCACGGTACCAGGGTTTATCTCCCCATCCCCATATTCCAATGGATTGTCAGCTGTTTGGATGGGTGAAGGTGCTGCAGCTGCGCAAGCCTTCCTCAGTGCAGAGGTCGATCCCAACTTCCAAGGCCGCCTGGAATCGCTGTGTCATTTGGGAGATGTATGGAGATGTGACGTGAAGTGACGAATTTTCCCAAGACATCTCTGCACAACAGATCACAATAGGTACTTGTACCTGCAGAAACTGCAGTGTATCAAAGGTTGGGGTCCCCTACACACTCACCCAATCGCACAGACATGCGTCAATGGATTCTTGATACGTGTTTCATTGATTTCTTTGCCTTTCACTGCATGTATGGTTTCCTCGTTTGGTGTCAGGGTACAAAAGAAAGAAAGAGAGCTTCTTGGATTGCAACAGATGCATGGTTGAAAGTTGAACGCCCAATGTTGATTTTGAATTTTATCTGCATGGTTTATCATGGTTTTATGAATTTTGCATACGTAGTTTTAAAGGACCATTCTATGCTTATTGTGCATGTGGATTTGCTTTCCTTGTGATCCAAAAGAATTGCCCTCCAAACAACTGGGCTGAGTCTGAGTCTGTCATAGTATGTCGTCACTGAGGGACAAAGGTAAAGCTGCAACAGACCGGTCGCAATCTCCGCCAAGATCTTGGTTTGACAATGACAAGATCTTGTTTCCAGAAATGAGATCACCAAGGCTGGGAAAAATCCAGCAGCGATGTGTGGAGCTCGATGGCTCGATGCTACCGTTTTGCGAAAAGGGGGGTTCAGCTCTGACCACATTGACACATTGATCATTGATCTTTGGTTCTCGAGGGTGAAGAGCAGCCACAGACCAACTGGTCTTGGACTGTGTGGATCTTAGTTCAATGATTCACCAGAAATTCACCATGATTCTCCTAGATTCAGCAGATTTGTGGATGTTGTGGACATTTGTGGACCGCAGTTTGAGTCTGAGAGTTGCCAAAGCTTGGACGCTGAGGCTGCGGTACCAGAGGTCAGTGAAGCGGTGGAGGTTGCTCCGGAGATGAGAGAGTTGGATCCGGCAGACACTCATTTGGTGATTCGTGGTGTGTCCGTGTCCCAGCCCAGGACCGTCGTTTGCTTTCAATGATTTGGTGAACACCAAGGGCACTGATCAGGAAGATATATTCCCCCTAAAATGCTTCCCTGATGGATAAGACTTGCCATGTTTCATGATGCTCAAACAGCGAAGTCGTGTAGCCGCTTCGAGCCATGTTTGATACACTTGCACCGAGCGACTCATCGACAAAGCGCCAGCGAACATCGCGAACATGTCATGATGCCGTCCCTCAGCTGCTGGCAAAGGGCCAAGTTGAAGCAGCCAAATCCGTTTGCCGCAAAGCTTTGGAGGAGTTTGACTCAGCAGCGAAGCCGAGTATGGCGGATGTTTGGTATTCACTGGGCCTGGTTCATGACATTGCCCATGAGCATGAAGAGGTGGAGCGCTGCATGCGCAAGGCGTGTGACTAGTGCAGCAAGATACAGTAACAAAGAACTCCAAAGCCAAGTGATTTTGTTCGAGCTGAAGAGCGGAAGATGTGAACTTTCCAGGCTTTGAGCTATCATGAGAGACCAGAGATTTGGCCCTATTTGGCGGAGCCTTGTACTAGTACAAGAGTTGTTTGGTTGCGTGTGCTTCCTTAAGCACCTCATGGTATGTGAACTGAAGCTTCCTGCAAGGACTATGCCACTCGAATTGGTGCTCCTTGGCCCTATTGGCACACTGCAGCGTGGGATGTTAGCTATAGACTCTATAGACCTGTTTTTGTGTTTGAACGATCTTGAACGATTTTCAACGCAAGGATTTTGATGCAGCTTTCTTGTGCTTCGAACGCATGCAGCAGTTGGTTCCGTGCCACCCTCGGGCAATAGATCGAAAGCCTCACAATTTCACTGGCAAACCATACATCCGAGTTGCTTGGCCACTGATGAACTGAGGACAGGGCTGCTAGGAATCCAGGCCAAGAAGTGACATTCGGATCAATTCGGATCATTCGGGGTTGGGGTTGGAGATGTTCCAGATATTGGTGGATTCATGGCATTGCCTGCAGGCAGCTTCAGATGCAAAGCTCTTGGCCCGAACACTGCGCTGTTCATTGGTGAAGCGCAGTTGTTGGTTGGACGTGAAGACCTCAGGGAAGCCTCACCAGAAAATGTGGTGTACGATGTGGACGTTGCCTGTGGAGTTCGGCAGGTTGCAGAAGAGCTTTCGGGTGCTCGGGCATTGGAGGACTCTCAGATACTCTCAGTAAATGTTGGGCAGCGTGTTTGTGTTTCCCTTTGAAGGTCAATCTGAGTTGTTGCAAAAGCCCTGTGAAGCTGCAGGAGAGATCACATACACATGCTTGGCGAAGCTTTGCTGCACTTGACGATCTTGATACAAACTTGTGCACACCTTACAGCATGAAACCAGCAAGGGAAGACATGCTGTCAGCAATTTCATGCATTTTCCAGTTGAGGTGTCCAAGATTCTCAGTGGCAATGGCGTGGCGAAGGGAGAAGCAGACAGGAACCCTGTCAAAGGTAGCGGGACAGCAATTAAATTACCAATGCAGTGCCAACTCAGACTCTAGACATTTCTAGACTAGAGAATCAGAGATCATCAGAGACTGCTATGGATACAGATCATTGCCATGGATTGCATTGGGTTGTCTTCACGTGAGGTCAAACCCAGAGGAGGAACAAGTCAGCACTGAATCCGAGAAAAAGGAAGAGTCCTTGAATAGGACATTCAGCTCAAGTGTGACCTGTCAAGTTTGGGACAACGTGTTTGGTCCTGAACTTCTACTGGCATTGCAGAAATCGGTTGATGACTTTGCTGTTTGGAGGGCAAAAAGCCCTCAGCGGCTCTTGGGATTTTGGTTACCAACAAATGCAGAACCACAAACAGCACCTGAAGTTGCTGGAAGGAAGTTGCAAGATTTGTTGGGCCGCAATGATTTGGACATTGAATGGTGGTGTCGCACGCAAGTGCCCAGCCTGGGGGCCCATTTCCATTATGATACCCATCCGTTTTTGGATGAAGCTCATGGGCATTTGCGCCCCGAGTTTTCGTCCGTGCTTTTTCTGAGTGACGTTGGAGGTCCAACAGTGGTTCTGAATCAGCAAGCACGAGGTAGTGGTAGCATTGGTAGCCACGTGCCTGAAGTACCGCACCATGGGTCTGCGGTTGCAAGTCGAAGCAACAGATGGTTTGCCTTTCCGGGGACTTTGCGACATGGAGCTGTATCTCTGACAAATTCCAGAGATGAAGTGCGAAGCGGTGCAAAAAGGACCGTTATTCTGTACAATTTTTGGCCAAAAAACACTCCAAAGACGGCTGAGTGTGTTCAACCGGATTTTTCAGATTACCTGCCTTTCTGTGCATGGGCCCCAACTGCTCGTCATATCCTTTGTGACTGTTGTTTGAAGCAGCTCCAACGAGAACCCATGAATGCAGAGAAGATGGCGTCAGTGGATCTCACCAAACCATCAGAAATGGATCATTCTGTGCCCATGGAGGGTGCCCTTGGCTTTTTGCCAATGCCATGCTCAGATGTTTTCAAGACTGACCGTGGCTTTGTGAATTTGCACTGGCGAACAGCGGCAAAGTTGTATCTTGCTGAAAAAGACCCGCCTGTCTTGCATATGGGTGGACAGCTGGAACATGCTAGAACCAAGAACGACAAACAAATACAGATTCAAAATGATTCAGGCAGTTTTGCATGCAATTGATACACATTCTCACATTGATATGAGCTCACACGGCACATTTTGTCAGCTACAATATCTACAATCCAATGGTTTTATCCGACGGATGCTGAGGCCCTCGGATTGGAGTGCCCTGCAGTTGCAGATGCTTTTCACTCCATATGGAGGAGTGCAGGCCAGCAGGGTGTGCAGCTGAGCCGCTGGACTCCAGATGCTCCAGGCCAGCACGGTCACCACTTTTCAGCGCCAGGCCATGCAGTTTGCTGATGAGGGTGAGCGCGCATGCCTCAGTATCCTCAGTGTTGCTTCTCTCATTGTTCTCATTGTTGATGAAAGTGGTATCCACCGCAGGATGCACCATGATGCACTCCATTCAGTGAACACTTCAGGGATCCTGCGAGTGCGGCTGGAAGACTTGGCGCAGCATTCTGTGGCAGCTGCTTCGAGCCTAGCGTAAAACATACGTATATAAGGCAGAATCAATTCTTCGAACCAATAACCTTAATGTAACCTTAATGAATCTGATCATTTCATCCCAGGCGCACTTTCAGCAGTCCCCGAGCAATGGCATCGTGCTCCAATGCGAGCTGTTCTGACTTGTTTGCCATGTTTGGCATGTGACTGTGATGCATCGTGATTCATGCAGCATCGAAGATGCCGGTATCATTTTCCGTGATGCCAGGCATTTTCTGGGACCCAAGGAACAGGAGCTCTTGGCAGCAGCTGCAGAGGCAATTGCTTGCAGCAAAACGCCAGTCGCTTCAAAGGGGTCATAGCAACACAGCAGACCGAGTCTGTATATTGCTGAAACCATCACATGTTTGTTTTATGCGCATCTGGTACCTTCCCAGTGTTGCCTTCTTTACTGTTAATCTGTTAATCCATGTTTGCCACTTGCACTCTCGACCTTTGGACAACTCACATATTGGACGCATGTCACGCGACGAAGTTCGCTCACAAACTGCTCAATCTGTTTGAAGTGGGCTTGACTGAAAATTAAGACGTAGCGCCCCCAAAATCCAATGGTTTGTAATAACACATAACACTTGAATATACGTAGTTTTATCATAGTTTTATCATGTTTTATCATGGTTTTATCATGTTTTATCATGTTTTATCATGTTTTATCATGTTTTATCATGTTTCACATGCCTCAAGAAGAAACATTTTGGAGCCAGGCCGAGCGGCGAAGGAAGGAGGAAGAAGCAGAGCGCCAGCGGCAGCGACTGGTCGGCTGGCCGAGTGGAAGATTTGTTCCAAAATATTAGTAGTAATATTATAAATCCACTGATATTATATATCTTTATTGTAATAATATCAGTAGTAATAGGATGTAATAGGTTTGATCCAAAAAAGGCTAGAGACGTCTAGAGACGTCTCTTGTTGTGCGATGGTGGTTGGCTCTCATTACAACTCAAAATCAACAAGTAATCAGTCCAAATCAGTTTTGCCCACTGGTTTCTTTCAAAAAACTATTCCACCTTTGGTAGCACGTCGGTGTGATGAATGCACCAACTAAAACGATTTGAGTGGCACTTGAATCGTGTGTTCTTTGAATCATTTTGAATCCAGCGTTGTCTCCCAAAAAATGTTGTTCCAATTTGTTTTCAACGGTTTGTCCTTTCATACTACGATGAATTCGGGCATTTTGAATATGGATTTTGCCACCTATTCAAAACATGCACGTAGTTTGTTGCGAAGCCGCTGGCACCAAATTGCAGAAATATTTGGATGACCAATGTGGTCAACGCAGTGCGTTCCTTCAATCTGACACGAACATTACCATGACAAATTTCAGGATCCTGTTTTCTCAGGCCGCCATTGAAGAGGCTGAACAGCAACGGCAGGCTTGGAGATTTGGCAAGATTTGAGTACAGTTCATTTGGAAATGGCACGCAGTGCTAATTTGACGACTCAATTTCTGGTCTTCAAAGAGGATCTTGTTGAGGCAGCCATATTGGCCGTGCGGCGCAGTCTATGGGAAGCTGCCAATGCTGATTTTGCTGCTGCAGTTCTCATCGAGGCACTCATCTACGTATTCACAACCACAATGTGAAACCAGTGGACAAAACATGACACGGCACAGCAAAACACATGTTGATCAGGTTGAAAAAGACGTGGAACGCGGCAAACGCTTACAGGCTTGGAACAATTTGGGAGACCGCACATTTGCAATGCGATTTGCAAACATTTGTGGATTTGTTTTTGGCTTCAGCAACTGCATGCCCAGGCTGCTGCAGAATCACTACGGGACCCTACCCTAAGCAAACAAAGAAGACGGATGATGTTGGCATTAGTGGAGGCAAGGTGGATGCTGGGGCAGTTCGGGGCGCTGCATGGTAAACTTGTGGGGGCTGTGTCACAAGCGGGTTCCCATGGTATCCCATGCCATGGTTATATAAGTTATATACATAATATGTATACACATTATAATATACACATTATAATATACATATATATAATTATATTATTATTATTATATAATTATATAATTATATAATTATATAATTATATATCATTTTTCCTCACTGGCATTCCAATTTTGGGGATCCTGTCGTTTTGAACCTGCAGAGCCCAGACCAGACCAAGTTCCACTTCAGGCAGAGCGCAAGAGACATGGACCGATGATTCCCCGTATGGAACGACAGGTTCCTTGGCGTCGCGCCATGGGACGCCATGGGACAGGGGTCGAACGGGTCCATCCAAGGCCATGGCTGCTGCAGATGCTGATTCCGATGTCGGGGGCGCTTTTTGGGCAATCGTGGTTGGGGAATCCTTTACATAGGGCGACATAGGGCTTGTGGAATGGTTGTGGAATGGTTGTGGAATGGTTGTGGAATGGTTGTGGAATGGTTGTGGAATGGTTGTGGGTGCTCCAAGATTGAATTAAGGACCTTCAAAACATGTCCAATAGTTGAGAGATGTTGAGAGAGTTGAGAGGAAGAAAGTCCAAGTGCTGGTGCATTAAACCATTTGGTTGGCAATCACAATGGCAGCAAAAACAAATACAAGCTTGATTTGGTGCCCGCGTGATTTCAATGAAGTTCAAATGCTCTTCAGGACGCATGTGCCCTTGCACAGAAAGAGGACGTTGAAGGTTCTAGGTGTTAAACCCAAGATCATCCAAGATCGTCCAAGATCATCCAAGATCATCCAAGATCATCCAAGATCATCCAAGATCATCCAAGATCATCCAAGATCATCCAAGATCGTCCAAGATCATCCAAGATCATCCAAGATCATCCAAGATCATCCAAGATCATCCAAGATCATCCAAGATCATCCAAGATCATCCAAGATCATCCAAGATCATCCAAGATCATCCAAGATCATCCAAGATCATCCAAGATCATCCAAGATCATCCAAGATCATCCAAGATCATCCAAGATCATCCAAGATCGTCCAAGATCGTCCAAGATCGTCCAAGATCAAGATCATCCAAGATCAAGATCATCCAAGATCATCCAAGATCATCCAAGATCATCCAAGATCGTCCAAGATCATCCAAGATCATCCAAGATCATCCAAGATCATCCAAGATCATCCAAGATCATCCAAGATCATCCAAGATCATCCAAGATCGTCCAAGATCATCCAAGATCATCCAAGATCATCCAAGATCATCCAAGATCATCCAAGATCATCCAAGATCATCCAAGATCGTCCAAGATCGTCCAAGATCGTCCAAGATCGTCCAAGATCATCCAAGATCGTCCAAGATCATCCAAGATCATCCAAGATCATCCAAGATCATCCAAGATCATCCAAGATCGTCCAAGATCGTCCAAGATCGTCCAAGATCGTCCAAGATCGTCCAAGATCGTCCAAGATCGTCCAAGATCGTCCAAGATCGTCCAAGATCGTCCAAGATCGTCCAAGATCAAGATCGTCCAAGATCGTCCAAGATCGTCCAAGATCGTCCAAGATCGTCCAAGATCGTCCAAGATCGTCCAAGATCATCCAAGATCGTCCAAGATCGTCCAAGATCGTCCAAGATCGTCCAAGATCGTCCAAGATCGTCCAAGATCATCCAAGATCATCCAAGATCATCCAAGATCGTCCAAGATCGTCCAAGATCGTCCAAGATCGTCCAAGATCGTCCAAGATCGTCCAAGAAGATCGTCCAAGATCGTCCAAGATCGTCCAAGATCGTCCAAGATCGTCCAAGATCGTCCAAGATCGTCCAAGATCGTCCAAGATCGTCCAAGATCATCCAAGATCATCCAAGATCATCCAAGATCATCCAAGATCATCCAAGATCATCCAAGATCATCCAAGATCATCCAAGATCATCCAAGATCATCCAAGATCATCCAAGATCATCCAAGATCATCCAAGATCGTCCAAGATCATCCAAGATCATCCAAGATCATCCAAGATCATCCAAGATCATCCAAGATCATCCAAGATCATCCAAGATCATCCAAGATCATCCAAGATCATCCAAGATCATCCAAGATCATCCAAGATCATCCAAGATCATCCAAGATCATCCAAGATCATCCAAGATCGTCCAAGATCAAGATCCCAAGATCATCCAAGATCATCCAAGATCATCCAAGATCATCCAAGATCATCCAAGATCATCCAAGATCATCCAAGATCATCCAAGATCATCCAAGATCATCCAAGATCATCCAAGATCATCCAAGATCATCCAAGATCATCCAAGATCGTCCAAGATCATCCAAGATCATCCAAGATCATCCAAGATCATCCAAGATCATCCAAGATCATCCAAGATCATCCAAGATCATCCAAGATCATCCAAGATCATCCAAGATCATCCAAGATCATCCAAGATCATCCAAGATCATCCAAGATCATCCAAGATCGTCCAAGATCATCCAAGATCATCCAAGATCATCCAAGATCATCCAAGATCATCCAAGATCATCCAAGATCATCCAAGATCATCCAAGATCATCCAAGATCATCCAAGATCATCCAAGATCATCCAAGATCATCCAAGATCATCCAAGATCATCCAAGATCGTCCAAGATCGTCCAAGATCGTCCAAGATCGTCCAAGATCATCCAAGATCGTCCAAGATCATCCAAGATCATCCAAGATCATCCAAGATCATCCAAGATCGTCCAAGATCATCCAAGATCATCCAAGATCATCCAAGATCATCCAAGATCATCCAAGATCATCCAAGATCATCCAAGATCATCCAAGATCATCCAAGATCATCCAAGATCATCCAAGATCATCCAAGATCATCCAAGATCATCCAAGATCATCCAAGATCATCCAAGATCGTCCAAGATCATCCAAGATCATCCAAGATCATCCAAGATCATCCAAGATCATCCAAGATCATCCAAGATCATCCAAGATCATCCAAGATCAT